GCCGACACGAGCTCTGCGTTCCACAAAATTTGATTGGCAATAAGCCCACAAGCAGCAGCAGCACCAGCAGCAGCAGCCACCCCCCCAGTGGTGGGATTTATTCAGTTCCATTACAGTATTTCCCCCCTCCTCTGTTAAGCTCCATCTCCTGCTCTCCCTTAAGTCCTCATTCTCCCCCTCGTCTCGTTTACTTTGATTGTATTTTCTGTGGTTTAGTCTTCAGCTGTTTTCGAATTTTGGGGCAGCAATTACAAATTAGATAAACCGCCGCATAACAGAGAGAGAGAGACAATTATGATTTGATTGAGCAGGGAGCAGGGAGCAGAAGAGAGAAGCCGAGGGCAGAGAAAGACAGATGGAAAAAGAAAGAGAAACGAGAAGGAAGAGAAAGGGACCATTAAATGTAAAATTTGTTTAAGAAAAATGTCTGAAATTGCAGTCCAATGCTAGAGATTGAGCGACATCCTACACTCAGAGAAAAAAGCCCCGCAACAGTTAAATATACAGTTATATTTACAAATTACAAAAACAAAAAAACTTAATATATAAAAAAAAAATTGAAGAAGTAAAAAACTAAAGCAAATAAATTAAAATAGCACAAATAATTAAAAATAAATATATCAATAAAAAGAATGACACATTAAAAAACAAACAAAAACCTAAAATAATTTTCCATGCATAAAAACAAAATAAAAGTTTGCCATATCAACAATATTTATTAATATAAATGTATATTAATATAATATAAATATTAATATATTAATATTATTAATTATTAATTATTATTATTATTATTATTAATTATTATTAATATATTATATATAATAATACAAAAGTTTCTTCAGTTTGAAATACGCTTATTATATTATTAAATATTAATTTTTTAAATGCAAGCAGGAGAAAATTCATTAAAAATCACTTTGACTTTAATATGAATATTAAAATATTATAATATATAATAATATTTATATTAATATTATATTATATAATAATAATAATAATTATTATAATATTATATTAATATTTATATTAAAGTCAAAGTGAGTTTTAATGAATTTCTCTCTGCTTGCATTTAAAAAATTAATATTTAATAGAAATATAAGCGTGTTTCAAACTGAAGAAACTTTGTACACGCACTTTTCCCTTCACGCGCACAAATGCATTAATAAGTGTAAAAAAAAGGTTCTCCGAAACAGAGATAGAGACAGAGAAAGAGAGTGGAAGAGAGCTACAGTTAAAGAAGTTTATTCCTTCCTTCCGATTCCGTCAACTCCCTCCAAGTGCCGCTTATTAAGGCATATCCTAATCAACTTTTCATCCTTCACATTTGCTGTTTCGTTTTACCTTTTCCCTTTCGCTTCTTTTTGCTTTACTTTTGACGCTTCTTTTTGTCTTGTCGTGCCTGCGTCTGCTTCTCCCACACCTGTCTGTCGACACCTGTTCTGAATGGAGTGGAGTGAGTGGCGGTAGCATCTGTTGTACGATATCTTGCGTCATTTCAGCGCGCCAAAGCAAGCGACGGCATTAAATCAAAACCACTTCCGTGCCAACTGTCAGTTGCTCCCCCAATGGAGGGGACGTCCCCTGCTCCCCTTTGTCTCTCTCTCTCTCTCTCTGTCTCGTGTGTGTCTCACATGATTCTTCACTCAGTGGCCAACCAGTTTCAGTGCTCTGTTCTCCGCTGTCTGCCTTTTGTCATTTTGCTTTAAGTAAATAAGCGAAATATCAGACAGTAACGGGGGAGGGAGGACAGGAATCCATCAGAGTAAAAAAAAAGGGTTGCGCCTGCATGTAATCCGAAACTCTGTCTGGGGTTACATGTCATTCTCCCAACCACACACAGACACCCCCAATCAGAGGACACCCAAACCACCCCCACCACCATTAAGGTAGCCAGGGAAACAGGTAGCCCATCAAATAGCATGTGCAAATATATACAAAAGGGAAAAGAAGAGAGAAAGAGAGAGAGAGAGAGAGAGAAAGAAAGGTAGGGAGACACTGAGAAAGAGTTACGGGGCAAAGGATTCTCTTGCAGATTGGGGGGGACTTTTGAGCTGCTTATAAGTAAATATCGCTTTAGTTTTTTTGGGGTATTTTATTATTTAAATATGCGTATATGTGTGTGTGTGTGTGTGTGTGGGTGTCGCTGTATCTGTGTGTCTTGGCATAAGCTAATTGAGGAATGCAGCCGGCAGCTGCAGCCCCAGAGGCAGCAACTGAGCAAACCTTGCCGGCAGTCGCCTAGCGATGGATGCATGAATGGAATTTGCTTAGCGTTTCGCTTTAATCTGTGGCTCCTTATCACCATATCGCATACCATCTCTCTCTCTCTTCTCTCTCTCTCTCTCTCTTTTACACACTCATTCTGTCTCTCTCTCTCTCTCTCTTTCGCTTTCTGCCTCTCTTGCTTGGCATCTTCTTCGCTTGTTTGCCAGTTTTCTTGTCCCTCTTATTTGCACATCATTAGCAAAAGAGACGAAGCCCCGCCGCCAGTAGAAGGCCAAGCAAACTCTGTAGATACTTTTGTATCTGCAGCTCTGTTTGTAGTCTACAGGTAAATGCCTCTGTGTCGCAGCTAAAGATACTTTTTGCATACTTTCAAATGCACCAGTGATTGCAGGGGAAACCCCAAAAAGTCAGCAAAGAAACACTAAGGAAAAGCGCACAGCAGCACAAACAGGAATGGGAGGGTACAGGAATTAAGGGAAAAAATAGGAAGAGAAAAAGTGTGAGAGAAATAGCGGAAACAAGGGGTGAAACAAGGGCAGAAAGAAGGGCAACAAGAGCTCAAGCAAAGACAGAGTGGAGAGCCCAATAAATTTCTCATTCAAATGGGAAACGGATTTCAGTTACAACCAAAACAGGAGCCTAACCAAAAACTCCTCCAAATAAACGAGTTACAGCAGAAAGATACTTTGATGCGAGGCCCAAAAAGTCAAGGAGTTTCAGGGCCAAAAATGGTAGAGAAATTTCAGGCTCTAAAAGTAGGAGGAGTGCAGAGAAGTTCACGAGGCTTTGAGCCGCCAGTCTACCGCCACATCGTTCAATTGTTCCCCTTTTGGGGGAAATGCTCTTGACCACAAAAATTGATTCGAACGAACTACAGACACACACACACACACACAAAGAAAGAGGCAGATAGACCTACAAATTGTTGCCACAAAAACTAAGACTGAAACGATCGCCTTTCGCCTGCTTCTTTGTTTGTTGTTGCTGTTGTTGCTGTTATTTTGCATTTAAAAAAATTGTAGGCAACAATTGGCCAAAGCCACAGAGCAGCACCACAAAAACAGAGCAAAAAATCCATTGACCAGACGCCGGACAGGGCCATCGTTTTTGGGGCATGCCATGCAATTTCTGTTTGTGTGTCTGTGTGTGTGTGTGGCAACAACTTTCTACCCCTTTGCCACACAGCCTCCGCCGCTTTTTTGGAAACTCATGAAACCTTTAAGAAAAACTTTAAGCTGGCAACCAAGCTTCCATTTAAATTGATGTTTCTGTATCTTTTATGGCTTCATCTATGGATAAGTTTATTGAAATCATTTCGTATCTTATGGATAAACATTAATCGCTGTCGTAAAGTATCTGTACTTTCAGTTACTCTATTTTTGTTGCAGTTGACTAAAAGATCTTAAATGTCTTAAATTTTATGTGAAAAAAGCTAACACCAAACACACACACACACACGAGTGCCATAAAGTTTTAGTGGCTTTTTGGGGTGGCGCCACATTGCTGAAATGTTGTGCATTTTATGTGATTGCCAGAAGAATATGCCTGTCACATGTAAATGTAGAAAATAGAAAATTTCCAACTATGGAAAAACTCCACGAATTCTGCTACATTTTTTCCATTCATTTCAAGCATTTTTTTTGTTTATCTTGTTACTTATGGACAATTTCCACACAGTTTTCACTGCATTTAAGACTTCAATCTTTGATTTTTACTACATTTTCTTGAATTTATTTACATTTCTAGCATTCCTATGCTTTATGGCCTTATGGACACTTATAACATTATTTATGCCTTAAAAATGGTTTTAAATTATACAAAATAAAATATTCTTATCTAATAACTAATGAAAATGGAAAACTTTCAATTTAAATATTTTCTGATACAACAAATCTAAAAATACTTCGAAATAAGTTTTATTCGTGCTCTCTTTTGTCATTCTTTTGCTTTAGTTTATTCTCTGGAAACTAATTTTAAATCTTTAAAATACTTATAAAATGTCTTATCTTTTATTCTTCCTTTGCAGGTGAGTTCCACGGCAAAAAAAGCCCTGCCCCCAACCCCCACCCACTTAAATAAAGACAAAGCTCTTCTTGGTCTCTGTTTCTGTAAGTAAAGAAAAGTTTTGTACATTTTCCCATTGAATTTGATCTGCATAATGCTTGCTTTTTCTTTTGCCTTTTACCATTTTTTTTTTGTTCTCTTTTTTTTTTGCTCAACAATAAATCATGACCGAGGGAAATTTCACCAGTTGGTTGCTGCTCCATTTTATTGCATTTTACTTAGTATTATTATTATTATTATTATTCTGTTTGGGCACCTTCTCCTTTCTACCTTTGCCTTAAATTATTTTCTTTCCCGTTTGGTAAATTCGGGGAAGTTTCAGGACAGAGTCTTAACTATTGTTAAGCACTTTTCCGCAAAGTTTTCCGCTGGCTTTTCTTGCTTACTTTTTGGGGAACTTCTTTTTGGCTAAGCAAAAGTGGCAGCTGTTTATGATAATCACGAAAATTTATAAGCTTCCCTCAATTGTTTAAGCCGCTCTAAAGAGAGATAAAACGAGAGTATAGAGTGTATCTGTAGGTAGCCTCTTATGTATCTGTATCTGTAGTTGTGTGTGTGGTATGTATCTGTATCCAGTGCACTTTTCCTAGAGCCCCTTCTGTCTTTGCCATCAAGTGCCTTTGCCTTTTCCGCAGCTAATTGACATCATACACTGAACTCATTCACATTAATTAATGACATCATTCACAAGAGCTGCCGGGTCAGTCATGAATGAGGAGGCATGGCAAGGCAGGCAGGCAGGCAGCCAGCAGGAGGCCACACAGTGCGCGGGTAGGGGGCTTGGGCGGCTGCCACTGTGCCACAATAAACAAAGCGCAATTTATGAACAAAAAAGGCAGAGGCTGAAGCCAAACGCACACGCACTTTGCTCTTAATTCGAGGCAATTTCAAGACAGACGTCTCTTCTATAGACAAAAGATGCGGTCGCATTGACGACTCTACTACTGATGAATGGCCAGCAGCCGGAAGTACGTGAAAAGAGCTCGCAGATACATACAAATATGTATCTTGGGTTTTCTTTGGCATAAGCCACCAAAGCAGTCTTTAGACATTTTCTTCTTAATTTTTATGCATATTAATTGAGCTAGAAAATTGATAAAAATTGTGTTACAAAACCAGCAAGCAGGGAAAAAAAACCCTTGGCAGTGACCCAAAAATATAAAAAAAAACTGTGGCTTTTCTGTTGATATTTTTGCACCATGAAGGAAACTTTTCTCTGGGCCAACATTTCAATGATTCTCTGGGCCTACTTTTCTTTGATTCTCTTGGCATTTCTTTGTCTCTTTTGGGGTGGCTTTTCCTGCGCTATTTCTGTAGGCTTTTTCTGTGTTGTTTTTTTTTCCCTTCTGTCTCTCTACCTCTCTTTGGGCTTTTCCTGTCTATTGTTTGCATTTGTGGCACGCTTTAATTATGCAAAATTAATGTTAATTAATCTCATGTTGAACATATAGTAAAAGCACAGATTTTACTGGCTGTGCACAAACATTCAAGATGAAAATTAATTGCAAATCTGAGACCTTTTTGAGGTCTCTGTCTGATATACCTCTGATATTTGCTGTTGCTGTTGCTATTGCCTTTGACTTTGCTGCCTGATATTTGTGACATTGATGATGATGGAGACGAGAGACGACAATGGCATTTGTCAGGCGTCCATAGCATTTGTCATCAGAGCAGCAGCAGCAGCAGTAACAGCAGCAGCATCGAGCATATTGCCTTTGCCTTTGGGTTGTGTTTTGTGGTTTTAGAAATTGCCTGCCAAAATGAAGGCAACTTGCTTGTCGTCTCTGTAATGATTGCCATATTGTTCGTTCGTTCTCACACACGATGGCGATTGATTTGTGGTCTTCATCGTTCGAGAGTGATTGAAATACACGTTTTGGCCACAGCATAAAAAAAAGCACAAATCATGCCCAAAAAAAAAAAAAAAACAGAAGCCCCAAAGAGCGAGAGGAGAGAGAGAGAGACGCAGACTAGACCCCTTTCTACAAAAGTCTTGTGTCGTGTGGCAGTCAGTCTTCGCTCAAACTCTGCTTTTATGCTTGAACTTTTGAACTAGTTTTCACTCAGAAACGAGGAAGAGAGAGACGCTGAGCGGGAGAGAGAGAGAGTGCTGTCTATTGTCCAGCATTTTTTTTTTTTTTGTGAGCGCCTTCAGTTCGCTCGCAAGACGTGTCTTGCTCTCCAGCTCTGTGGCAATTTTATTACATTAAAGTTTGCAATTTGGCATAATCGGTTCTATGATTTATGGTATCTATCTCTCTCTCTCTCTCTCTCTCTCGCTCGCTCAAGCCCATCAGATAAAAGATACACATCAAATCATTGAAAGCAAAGCCGACAAATTTGAAAGTATCTTTTGCACATATCGAAGACGACAGCAGACGCGGCAGACAGAGCAGAGAGCAGAGAGCTGAGAGCAGCAGCAGCAGAAGTGTAAGCTCAAAAGTTCATCCAGGAAATTAAATTGAAAGCCTTTTACAAACATATGTATACCTATAGCTACAGATACAGATACATTTAGCTATAGATAAAGCTTGAGATGTAGATGGTTTTGAAGGCAACCTACTTACCTACTCGAGTGTCGGAATGTGTCTGTGCAGCAGCAGCAACTAGAGGATGGGGGCGTGTGTCTTATAGACATGCAACCCATGCGAAGTATCTATGTATCTAGCCATCCACCTTGCCACTACTGAAAGCCCTCCCGTTTTTTTTTTTTTTGCTATCTCTCTATGTGTGTGTGCCACATGGCGTATGATGGATTTATGTTTAAGTTGCGTGCAAGCAACTTAATGGATTTTGTAATTTTCTTCTTTTTTATTCTGCTTGTTTTTTGTTGCCAACAGAAAAGTTACCCAGAATAAACTATCTTGTAGATACTTTGCACACTCAGACATTTGCCATTCGGAATAGTTTATCCACCGCTCCCAAAGGCAGCTTTGCCAGCTCCCCCTCCCCCCCTCTGCTACCGTACGCCACCTCTTGAAGGAGACACGAGGCTAAAGCTGCCGCTGAGGCTCTTGCACCAAAAAGCATCCAAAAGAATTGGAGCATGCCGCCCAAGTTATAAAAAATATGTGTGTTCTTGAGGCATCATAATATATGCGGGCACATAAGCATCGCAACGAGCCAAAACTGAGGCTCATTCGCGTCCTCTTATTTTCCCTTCATCTCTCTCTCTTTGTCTCTCCCTCTCTGGATCTCTCCCTCTGTCTCAATCTTTTGCTACGTCTAAGGGAAAAGTTGAAAATGAAAACAAACATTTCTGATGGCAGTGCAGAACTTTTGGCTGACATTTTGATGCCCTACAGAGCGGGGGAATAGGGAAGATTTTATTTTATTTATCGGTTACCGATAATTTAATATTTCTTTAATGAAAAAAGTATTTTTCTCTGTCGTTTTTTTACATTTATCGACAACGATTATCAATCATTAATATATATGTATATTTCATGTAAATCAATTACGATTATTCGAGCATTCTACAATCAATAAAATACGATTAATTTATATTTACCCTGCATTAGTTTTGATAATTATCGCAATAATTAATGGACTACAAAACAATAATCGGAAAATATCTTTTGATACCCTATAACATATTAAACCTTGAATTTGGTTTGAAATACTTGCTTTCAAAGTATCTCCTACTATGATAAGATGTATCCTGAATATTAATTGATAGCAAAGTGTAGAGAACTTTTATACCTTAACAACCATCTCGAGAGATCACCAAAAAAAATTTGTGAACTGAGAGCCAGCAAAAAGAACAAAATTTGAGCCTGAGAGAAACGGAATAATTCAGTTGCAGGAAAAACTTTTTACTGGCAATGGCCAATGCTCTCTTGTGACTCCTCCGTGTGCTTATTAAATATTAATTATGCGACAGCGCGGCGACCCTCTCGGAGGAGTCGCATATAGCAATAACAATAAAAACACAGTGTATATATTTGTGTGCACAATTTTTATGGCCAGAACCACTTGGACCGAGGGGGGGAGGGCCAACAAACACGAGAGTATTATTATTCCTAGTGCCACTAGGCGTGTCAGCTCATCCAAGTGTCTCGGTTGATGATTGTTGGGGGGGTGGGCGACTGGGGAGATTGGGGATGACAAATTTGGGCATTTGACACGAAACAAGATACATTTGCATCTCATCTTGTTGTGGATGTGTATCTATAACAATTCTGTCGCTCAAAGGGCAGATCACGTGGGCAGATGAGATGCCTGGCAGATACTCGCGTACTTGTTGATACTCTTTACGTTTATCTTTTTTTGGTTGTGTGCATATTTGCAATGCTAATTGTAATTGTCTGCTTGGATGCTTGGCTGCTTGGCTGCTTGGATGCTTGGCTGCCGCCTGCTGCTGCCTGCTGATGCTGCTGACAAGTGATCTAGCCAAAATCATCTTTATTTTTATGGGCAAAACTCGTTTCCGTTTGCTGCCTGGTATCATCATCATCATCATCATGAACGGCCCCGTGGTGTATCGTGGGCGTGCATCGATTAGCTTTGGATCGTCGTGTGTATCTATTGCTTACATACCGATCGTCGAGCCCCTCCTCCATTCCTCGACAGAGCTAATCGTGCGAGCAATCAAATCGATTTTGCCAGCGAGGGTACACCCAACCCAAATTAATAGCCAGAGCAAGCTCTAGATTTTCTGTGTGTCTTGAAGTAATTCAAATTTAGTTTTGGCTACGACTTCCCTTTCATTTTCGAGGGGCGCGCAGCCGGCATTTGTCATTATAAAAATTACATTTAATTATATTTATTTGCCTGCTCCAAAACCAAAACAAAACAAAAAACAAACTTCCGTTCCAAACAAAAACCAAAAAAAAAGAGAGGAGATGGAATCGTCGTAGTAGATGGACTCGATTTCGTTCCGCCGCTTTTCGGTTTGCTTCTGTTGTTTTTGTTTTTGTTGTTGTTGTTGTTGTTGAGAGCGTGCGGGAAATTCATTAGCAATATTTATGACTAGTTGCTGTTGTTGTTTTTTTTCGTCTACTGTCTACTGACTAATTTCCATGGCAATGGGAATAATCATAGACCCCGGGTACAGCGTCATTATTATTGTTGTTACTCTCTCGTTGGGCCCCAGCCCCCCCCTTCCTTTCCTTTGTTTGCATCAATTATTTGTTGCTCTCTGAGGCAGCCATTGTGTGCCCTCTGTGCTGCCTGCTTATATAAACAATTGTTAGTCATTGAAAGCAAAAAAAAAAAAAACTGCATTGAAAAACAGTCAGCGACACAGAGGCAGATAGAGAGAGAGAGAAAGAGCGCGAAAAAGTGAGTGCAAAAAATCAATGAGAATATTTCTCAGGGCACACAAATTTCTATTCTATACAAACAACAACAACTATACCAACAAAAACCATATATCACATCATCATTATCTTTCAATCTTTGGGGCAATTACTGCCACAAGTGGTTGCTGCTTCATGCATCGTTTTTATGACCATTCCATGAAATTAATTGCCATAGCCCGGAAATCAATTTCATTTTTGTCAATCTTTCGTACTAAATCCCAAATATTTGCTATACAAATATATACACATACATACACACATATGTATGTATACCATATATAGATAGAGATATCGTTTTCTCGCTCTCTCATTTCAATGGGCAAACGCATGGGTGTGGGCTCTGCCTCATTAATCGACAAAAGTATCTGCAATTTTTGGTCATAAATCGTCCATGCAAATCGATAAAATAGAATCATATGCAAATGAATGTACAAATGCAAAAGTTTTGGGCATATTTAGGAGACAGTTGTGTGCATAAAAATAGTCACCCCAAAATGCATTAAAGAAACAAATATTACAGATTCAGTTTTGTGTTAGTTTAATACTATTAAACGTTTTCTTAAGATGAAATGAAAAAATTATTTACTATCTGGTTGAGTACTGAAAAGGCATAGGCAAAGATCTGTTCGCGGTAAAGTTTGGTTTATATTTCAAAGTCTCAAAGGCTAGAAATTAGTTGAGTGCATCGAAGAAATAGTGGCCCAAACATCAGCTTGATTTAATTACAAACTAAACCAATATATAACACTATCTATAATTCATAGTAAATTCAGGGCAATCCTCTAATAATTTTCCCCAATATTCCTGGCTCTGCTGTAAACATTTTATTCTCTAACAATCTATAGTTTTTGACTGATATTTTTATTGCTTTTATTTTGCACATTTTCTTGCAATAAAAATCTTACCGGATAATATGCAGTAAGCCCAATCCTCCCAGTCGTAGTATTGCCATTATATTTCCCCTCAAACTTTCATTAAATTCAAATTCAGCATCCATTGCCAGTGCAGAAGTTACTTTTGTTTTGTTTATGCAAAAATATATCATGTGTTATCGTACCCATAGATACATCATCTTTCCACTGCCAAAGATACAATTCACAAAGGGGGTGGGTGGGGGTTAAAGTATCACCATCTCTACTTCTATGCTTGTGTTCGATTTCCTGTCCTTGCCCTGGCAGCATTCCCCATTATAATCCCACAGATTCATAGCCTTGTTTTGTGTGTGCTTGTACCTTAGCTAAAGATACAGATACAGATACATATGTATGTATGTATCTTTTGGAGATCTGAGCTTTAGTTATGTGCATATATTTGTCGCCCTGCTGAAGCATAGCATTTTGTAATATAATTTTCGGTTTTTGTTGTCAGCTCAATTTTCAAGTTGTTTCAGATACGAGTACACTCACTTCTCACTCCTCATCCTCCTCCTCCCCTCACCACTCATTCTAGTGTGTGTATGTGTGTGTGTGTGTTTGTTCTAGAGTGTATCTGCATCTGTGTGTTGTTTGTTTGTTTGTTTGCCTTGCGGTTGCTGTTATTCTCATTTCTATGTTCTTCTTCTGTATATACAAATTTTTTTTCTTGTTGTTATTTTGCTCTCCACGAGATGGAGGAGTTTTTGCCAGCAGCTGCCTTTGTTGTAGCCACTGTTGCTGCTGCCGCACTGCCACTTCCACTGCCACAGCTATGACTGCCCCTTGGTGATGTCTCTCACTATGATAAGGCGAATATGTACACTGCAAGAAAGAACAAGGGCAGTCTGTGTGTTTTTTGTCTGTCTGTCTGTCTGGCGGCATGCCTGACCTACTCAATTTATACATTCTTCTTGTAACTTGCTGCTTCCCTCGCTTCTCACCCGCTCCCGGCACACAGTGCTGCGTTGCAACAGATGTTTGTGTGATTATCTCAAAAGGAAGTTCCGTTCAAATTATTGCCGGAGATGGTCTAGATAGATGGCTTTAAAGTGAAAGTTCAGATGTGCTGGGGAATGTGTTGATTTCTTCTTAGAAATTCGAGAAAATAATTCAAATAAATCCATGTAAATTAATTTTCTGGCTTAAATAGGTGATTGCAATCGATAACACTGACTTTATGCAATGAAAAGGCTTTTTTTTTAATATTTAAAACTCTAAAAATAAACATTTCAGAACATTCCAATAGGTTTTTCCTTTGCTAAAAGGGGTTCCTTTGCTTTCGAAACCTTCCGTTGTAATTCCTGTGAGTTTTTCCATCAGTTGGTTCATTCTTTTCCCCACTCTCACATTTTGTGCTGACTGTTTGTCATTGCCCCCTGCCCCGCCGCAGACCCTCTGTTGCTTTCATCCATTCATCCATCCCACATATTTGTCGTCATATTTACTTTTGATTTATGCAGCGTTGCTCCAGTCCTCAGCCTAACCCTCAGCCACCAGCCTCCACTTCTCCCTCTCTTGCCCTCTTGTGGCTCTCTGTTTTGTGTTTTGTGTGGCTGTGTAAACATTTGCATTATGTTAAATAAACCCAAAAAGTATTTTGACAATATCGAGATATTATTTGCATGGCCAGCCCCAAAAACAATAGCTCCAACATTCAAATGCAGGGCAAATATTTGTGTGTGCTACTTATACTTATTGGAGGGTAGTACTTATACGGGGAGAAGCTCTTTCTGTGCTCTATCTTTCTCGACTTTTAGCTCGTTTTGTGCCTAATTCTTTGGGTACTTCTTCTGTACTTTCTGGCTCTGCCTTTTGTACTTCAACTTCTTCTTACAGACACTCTAGTTTTCTTTCAATCTGCGCTTTTTCGACTTCTTTCTACAGCTCTTCTACTATTTGAATTATCTGCCAAACTTCTAAATATTTTTTAGATTTATCTTAATTTTAATAGATTTAAAGTTCATAAGGAGTTTACGTTTAGAACTCATCTTATACTACTTTTTAAACTTTATCTCATGCTCCTTCTTGTATTTCATCTTATACTCTCTCTTATATTTATACTATCACTTATACCTATTCTTTCTGTTATACTTCATCTTATACTGACTCTTATATTCACTCTTATACTCCATCGTATACCCACTCTTATACTCCATCTTATACTCACTCGTATACTCCATCTTATACTCACTCTTATATTTTTTTTTCTTATACTTCCTACTATATTTAAACTTCTTCTCCCAACTCTTATATTTATACCCAAACTATTTCTTATACATCCATTCTAACCAACTATTACCCTCTTTTGATCTTCCATTTTGCAGTACCAACTGATTCGCCAACATAGCCAGCTACCAGGACCTGTTGGGCAGCCATCATCAACTGCTCATAGCCGCCACAGCAGCAGCCACCGTCGCCGCTGCCGCAGTCGAGTCGCCGCAACTGCCGCAATTGACGACGACGCCACCCATAGCCACCAACACCACACCCATAACACCCAACAACAACAACAACAACCAGAACCACAACAACAACAACACAAACACAGCAATAACAAAAGGAAACAACAACCAGCAGGCGGTGTTCGAAAAAGCCATCACCATTTCGTCGATTGCGATTAAACGCAGGCCGACGCTGCCGCAGACGCCAGCAAGTGCCCCACAGGTGTTGTCGCCGTCGCCGAAACGCCAGTGTGCCGCCGCCGTCTCAGTGCTGCCCGTCACCGTACCGGTGCCAGTGCCCGTGCAACCCCTGCAGCCCGTGCAAGTCCCAGTGCCAGCTAGCGCCCTCAAAGGACACCATCATCATCTGGGAAATCATATTGGAAGCCATCTTGGAAGTCAGCTGCAACAGCATCCCCATCATCCGCATCATCAGCTGAGCTTTGCCCATCCCACACAGTTTGCGGCCGCCGTTGCCGCCCACCATCAGCAGCAGCAACAGCAGCAGCAACAACAGCAACAGCAACAGCAGCAGGTGCAACAGCAACAGGTTGCATACGCAGTAGCGGCAGCACAGCAGCCACAACTGCAACACCAGCAGCAGCAAGTGCAACAACAACAACAGCAACAGCAGCAGCAGCAGCGTCTGGCACAGTTCAATCAAGCGGCAGCCGCTGCCTTGCTCAATCAGCACTTGCAACATTCGGCGGCAGTCCACCAGCAGCAGGTTGTGCAACAACAACAGCAACAGGCAGCAGCAGCAGCAGTAGCAGCACAACAGATCCAGCAACAACAGTCTCTGGCGCACTACGGCGGTTATCAGCTGCACAGGCACTCGCCGTACGTGCAACAACAGCAGCAGCAGCAGCAGCAACAGCAGCACATTCTGCTGAGTGCCAGCAGCAGCAAGCATAGCGCCAGCAACAACAGCAACAACAGCCAACAGCAGCCCGCACCAGCAGCCGTTGCAGTTGCAGCAGCCACACCAGCAACAGCCACCGTTGCCGCTGTACCCACGAGCGGCGGCAGCAGCAGCTTGCCGGACAGCCCCGCCCACGAATCGCATTCGCACGAATCGAACTCTGCATCGGCCTCTGCGCCAACGACACCCTCACCGGCAGGTAGTGCCACAACAACAGCCACAACAGTTGCAGCAGGAGGCATCAGCGATAGCAACAACAACCTGAGCAACAACGCAACCGCCGCCGCCATAATGGAAAATCAAATGGCACTCGCCCCGTTGGGACTCTCGCAGAGCATGGACTCCGTGAACACGGCCAGCAATGAGGAAGAGGTGAGTGACAAGACGACACAATTTTTCCTTTACCCACTGAAGAAGCAAAGAAAAGCCAAAGAAAAAGAGCTTTCCCCAGCTTGGGGAATGAATATTTTTTCACAGAAAAAAAAACAAAAGAAAAACTCCACTCGAATGTAGAATTTGAGGCTACGAAAAATTTACATTTTCATGAGAAAATGCAAATTATCTCGGGGACTGGACCTACATTTTTTTATTTGGTGTCGAAAGTTCATTCTTAAAGGACTTCTTGAATCCTTGCAATTCCTATCATAAGATATATTTGTGTAGATAGTATCTTTTATCTAGTAGATATGTATATGTACATATATTATAGCTGTAGTACATTTACGTAGGGCACATTCTCTTGGAATCTTTTTCATTTTTTTTCTATTTATTTTTGTGGTTTATTTCAAAGGAAATTCACACAAAGATTTTCTTACACTCCATTTAAAATATATGATATAAAATAAATAAAATATATAGGGCAGACAATTTATTTTCTTTAACTATATTTTTGTACTTACCTCAACAAGAACTTTAAAAACGTTTTGTTTTTTTTTCCTACTCGAGTGATTACTCGTTAGATTTGTGTGTGTGTTTCAGTCACTAACTCTTTTGGCATTCAGTTTTTGCAGACTTTCGCCTGAAAAATGCACGAAAAGAAAGATATATCATTCAATTAATTCGAAAACAGGGCAGTTTTTGCTCCCTTTATATATAAATTAATGTCATATTGCTTTACTTAATCTTTAAATAAATTTTGCATTCATTGCATAACATAAATTCTCTTGAAATTGATCCCAAAATACATTTTCACAAGAATTTCCTTAATTCATTTCCCAGAGTAAAAGGCTTTCTCCCCCCTCGTTTCAATTTCATTTTTTCCTTAAAGACTTTCGCTTGATTTTCTGAGGCCCCGCAAATAGAAAATATAATGATCGATATGTCGAGTGGCTGGCTGTTCGCCTGCATTTCCTTCACTCGCAGTCGCCGTCGGCCCACACTCAAATCCACACGAAGCACTCATCTCATTTATGCCCCTCCCTCCCCCGCTCACTCGTTCAGTGCCACAAAGTGCGCGCTACATCAACTGGCAGCTCAGGCATAAGATTTTTGTTCCATCGCCTTTTGTTTTCTTTTTTTTTTTTTCTTTTTTTTTTGTTTGTGTGTGTTTCGGTGGCCAAAGCCAAGGGGGCAGCATCCCTGCTGCTTTATGAAGCCAAAGGCTAGGGCAGGGGTTCTGCACTCGTGTAAGTGGCATGTGCAACTGGAGGATGCTGCTGGCTGCTGGCTATTGCTGCTTCTGCTGCTGCTGTGGTTGTTGTTGCTTACATTTTGATTATGCGCCTTGTCTTATGCTACACATATTTCACGCTGCTGCCTCACGCTGCCTGCCTCCTGCCATCCTTTCATATTTCTTTCGGCATCGGCGGCGGCGTCTGCGGCCTCGTGTGGAGCTCTCTGGCACGCGTAATCCACGCGGCACGTGCCCGGCATCCCATCCCCCTTCACCACACACACACACATACACACTGCGTTTCGCTGCGTTGCCATCATGTCAAGTGGGAAACGTGGCCTTACAACACACACACACACACACACATCCTTTTGGGGTGGCATGCCCCTTGCCGCACTGTGTCTCTGCCCCTAAAAATCCAAGCGATGCGTTAAATTTGATTTTATCCTTGATAAAAAGGTTCCCTCCCACTTTTTGTTCGCCTTCTTTTTTCTCGATTATGAATTTTTATTTGCTTTGAGCGCGTGATTTTGGAAAATTTAAGCAGCGAATAAAAAAGCAAGAGAAACGTATGAGAAATGCAGGATAAAAGAGTGAGAGAAAACCTCTTTAGCAGCGGTAACATTTCCATCTTTTCTGCAGAATGCAATCCTTAAAGAGGTCGCCTCGTCCCTTCCTCCCTTCCTTGTGTGCAAAACGCATTCCATTCGCCGTAACTCCTTTGCGCATTAAAAATGCATCAATCACATGACGTGGGGGGCGGGCAACCCCTCAACCCTACAACAACTGTACCTGCCCCAAAAAAAGCGGAGTAAACTCTGAGCAGAATAAGATAAAGTTTCTCTTCAGTCAAAATGTGAAATATTTCTGACTAGCGCAAGTCCTAAATTAATCAAAAAAAAATATATATGTATGTATATGTACGCAAAAGTAAACGAAGGCAATTTTCAGATGGAAAAACCTGAGAGATAAAAGATGAGAAAAACTTTGCGATGGAAATGGATATGGGGGGGATAAAAGTCTCTCAGCCTTTACCTTTACTTCTGATTCTTCCTTTATCTCTGATTCTATCAACCTCTCTCTCTCTCTCTCTTTCACTGGCATAACCTCTCTCTCTCTCTCTCTCTCTCTCTTTCTGCCTCAATCTCTCTTTTCTGTTGTCTTACTCTATTCATTCACATTGAGACTGCAATGTGACTTCATTTGTATTTATGAGTATTCACTCCTGCACTCATCCTTGCCACCTGTCTCGTGCCTCTTGTGCCACACTCCACACTCTCATGTGTGTGTGTGTGTTTGTGTGGCCGTTGCATGAATTATTGATAAGTCAATTAAAAAAGTATGACAGCGACTGATGGTTGGTAAATATTTTACACACACACACCAAAACTCAAGTCGTGTTCCATGACAGAGAAAGGATACAGCTACACACACACACACACAAACACACATGCGGGGGATACTCTTGAGAGCTGAGACTGAGCGCTTGATTCCAGGTGTATTCCCCTTCGTATTAAATGGCATATCCTTTGGGTGTTTGCTTGTCATCTGCAGCAACAGCAACAGCAACAGTGTGTGGCAACATATTGCTTTTCTTTCATTTTAAACGGTTTTGATGTGGCAAGAAAGGCAATTCCCCCAACCCCCTACAACCCCAGGCGGCTTTAAGTGACCAGAAAATGGGGCGGGCATCGGAAGTAGAAGGCAGAGGCTGGAGAACCTGTCCCTGCAACTGATGCAAAAGTGGCACTGGCCAAGCACAGCAGGGGCCATCGAGCAGTCAAGTGTGTGCATCGTGCCATGTAAAATCCCAGTATGTGTGTTGTGTGTTGTGTGTGTGTGTTGGTGTTGGTGTTTGTGCAACATGCAATCGAATAGCCTGCCCCCTGCCTGGACCCTGGACCCTGGCCCCTGGCCCCCGGAGAGAACTTCTCTGCTCTCTGGAAAACTTTGTGGCATCACGTCCTGCCTGTGCCACTGTGCTGTGCCTTTGTTTAAATGCAAAATGTTGAAAATATATAGAAATAAACTTAATAAAACTTGTCACAGATGTGTCCTGCCTCTGGAGGCACATCCTTTTGACATCACATCCTTTACAGAGACACAGAGAGAGAGAGAGAGAGGGAGAAAGAGAGTTGCGCACAATTAAACTTTTAACTTTTTGGAATTTGCTTACTCCCCTCTCAGAAGACCTCAAAGCACCTCCCCAGATACGTCTACATTCCACATTTTTGTCATGTGCTGCTGCTGTTGCTGCACTCAACGGAAATTGCCATGTGCCAAAATGGCAGACAGGGTCGTCCCACCTCCACTTCCTCGTGCTGCTGCTGCTGCCATTCATTTTCCTCCCTCATTTTCCTCTGACAGTTTTCTAGCTGTAGTTTTTTTTTTTTTTTTTTCAAATTGCTTATTTATTTGGTTGCGAAATGCAAATAAAATAATGCCCTCGGCCGAAAAGAATATCAAAAGTTCAAAAGTTTTTTTTTTCTGTCAGGAAAAGTTTTGTTTGTGCTTGCTGCCACAAACTGTTGCATATAGAGCTCTCTCACAGTCTCTGCTTTTCCCTCTCCATCTCTTTCTATAAATAAATAAAAAACTGACAAAATAAAAACAAAAGCTTTTCGGGCCAATGAATTTTTGTTGCTAAACAATTCACACGCCTCCCCAAAGAGATCTCTCTGTCCCTCTCTCTCTCTCTCTCTCTCTTGAGTATGTTTTTCGGTGTGGTCAAAACCCCACCCAATTTTCCCACTCTCTCCCTCTCCCTATCGCGCTGTAAAAGCTAAATGTCAACTGTATTGTATGGGTATTTTATTTACTTTTGCTGAACATTTGCATTTTGTTTGTCCTTGTCCCTTTTTTTTTTTTGTTTCCTCCTGTCCCTGGGTTTTTTCCTTTTTGTGACAAGGCTTTTAAGCCCTGACATCAATGCAGTTCCACACAAATTGCTTTACGTGGTCAACGAATACAAAAAATGTCTCCGCCACTTGCACAAATTCCATTTCCAATTCCAGGTAGCCGCCATTCTCCATTTTCCATTTCTTTTTCCTGCCATAATGTGGCCAAGTCCTTGAGCGCCATTAGCCAAGTGCCAGCCAGTCCTTGAGTTTTGGGGTTAACTCCCTTACTCACCAAACCAAACAAAAAAAAAAGAGTGCCAAGAAGTTGCCTTTTCTTTCGCCATTTGGTGGCTTAATTCAATTTGCGTTTCAGACAATTTTCGGCACTAAATGAAATTATTAAAAGGTTCCAGCAAGAGGGAAAGCAAGTGAAGTGCAAGTGGAAGTAGTAACAGTAGCTGTAGACTTCTCTGTCTCTCTCACTCTCTCTCACCCTGTGAGAAGATGTTATCGGAAATAATTTGTGTAAAACTAAAGCGACAAAATCAAATTGCAAGCCGATGTAAAGGATAGATACTAAAGGAGCAAGAACCAAGAACCAGGCATTAAATAGGAGTTTAGAGACAGAGAAATGGAACTGGCGTTAAGCTAAGTGATGCACTGAGAAAAAAGGGGTGAGATGTTGCAAGTTTATATTACAAATATATGTACGTACAAGCGATATCCTCAGGATTTTATATATCGTACCTTTCGATAGCAATCACAAAAAGGTACGCACATGTATATTGATTGACATAAATCGATAAAACTTTATAAGATAAAAATCGAAAACACTTGTTAGACGATATATTTAAAACAATAAAATTCGGGCTATATAATTTGTTTTCGATAATAATAGTATTCGATCAAAATCGATATGT